AATTTTACATTTTTTAATTTTTCAACATTTAGATTTTACGATTTGTTAATTTTTATGATATTTCAATTTTTTGATTAACCGAACTCTCGACATTTCAGTTTTCGGGTTTTTAAAAACTTTGGACTTTTCGATTTTTCAAGTTTTGGATTTCTCAATTTTTCAATACATTTCAATTGAGGGTATTTTCCAATTTTTCGATTGCTCCATCTTTCGATTTTTGTTTTTTTTCGATTTCAATATTTGAATTTCTCAATTTTTTCGATTTATCGATTTTTCAGTTTTTAAATTTTTCGGTTTCTCAATTTCCCAGCATCTCGATGTTTCAATTTTTCAATTTGTCCTTTTTAAAATTTTTCAGTTTTTCGATTTTCTAAATTTTAGATTTTTCGATTTTACAAAATTTTGGATTTTACGATTTTTTGACATGTGGGTTTCGCGATTTAAAAAATTTTTGATTTCTCGATTTTTCAAATTTTGAATATTTAAATTTTAGGAATTTTTCATTTTCTAGATTTTTCGATGCTTTAATGTTTCGACATTTTTTGGAATTTTTTAATCTACCGATTCTTAAATTTTTCGATTTTTTAAATTGTAAATTTTTGGATTTCTTTTTTTATTTTTCAGTGTTTAGATTTTTTAATTTTGTATTTTTCCATTGTTCAACTTTTAGATTTTACGATTTTATTGATGTTTCGATTTACAAGTTTTTAAATTTGTTTGACAATTCAATTTTTTGTAATTTTTTGGATTTTCGAACTCTCGACATCTCAGTTTTCTAATTTTTTGGACTTTTCGATTTTTTAAGTTTTTGAATTCCCAATTTTTCAACATTTCAATTTGGGGAATTTTTCAATTTTTAGAATTCTCAATTTTTCGATTTTTCGACTTTTAGAATTTCAATATTTAGGTTTTACAAGTTTTCGATTTTAAACTTTTCCGATTTAAATATCGATTTTTTAATTTTTTAATTTTTCGGTTTCCCGATTTCTCAGCATCTCAATTTTTCAATTCTTTAATTTTTTTATTGCACCATTTTTAGAATTTTCGGCTTTTAGGATTTTTCAATTTTTCGATTTTTTAAATTTTTTAATTTATAAATTTTATATTTTTAGATTTCACGTTTTTTTGATTTTTCAGTTTTTCGATTTTTTTAAATTTACGTTTTCCGATTTTTCAAGTTTCAGATCATACGATATTTTAATGTTTTGATTTACAGATTTTATAATTTTTCGATATTGCAATTTTTCGAATTTTCGATCTCTCGACATATCGGTTTTCCGTCTTTAAAAATTTTGGACTATACGATTTTTCGAGTTTTCGATTTCTCAATTTTTCAACATTTCAATTTAGTCAATTTTTCAATTTTTGGAATTCTCAATTTTTCTATTGCTTCTTCTTTTGATTTTTCGGCTTTTCGGATTTCAATATTTCGGTGTTTCAATTTTTCATTTTCTTTTTTTTATTTTTCTGCTTTTCGATTTTCTAAATTTTACATTTTTCGATTTTCCAAATTTTGAATTTTACGATTTTTTGACGTTTCGAATTCCCGATTTTTTAATGTTTTAATATTGTAATATATATTTTTCGGATTTTCAATTTCCCAATTTTTCAATTTTTTGATGTTTTGACTGCTCAATCTTTCGATTTTTCTTTTCGTAGTTCGATTTTTCGTTTTCTCAATTTTTTAAACATTTTAATTTTAGGAAATTTTCAATTTCTGGATTTTCCGATGTTTTAATGTTTGGGTTTTTTGATGTTTCCACATTTTTTGGAATTTTTCGATCTACCGATTCTTAAATTTTTCGATTTTTTTTTATTTTTCAGTGTTTAGATTTTTTAATTTTGCATTTTTCCATTTTTCAACATTCAGATTTTACGATTTTTTAATTTTTTTGATATTTCAATTTTTTGAATTAGGTACCGAACTCTCGACATCTCAGTTTTCCGATTTTTCAAATTTTGGATTTCTCAATTTTCCAGCACATTTCAATTGAGGGCATTTTCCAATTTTTGGAATTTTCAATTTTTCAATTGCTCCATCTTTCGATTTTTCGACTTTTCCGATTTCAATATTTTGGTTTTTCAATTTTTCAATTTTTAAATTTTTCGATTTATCGATTTTTCAGTTTTTAAATGTTTCGGTTTCTCGATTTCCCAGCATTCGATGTTTCAGTTTTTCAATTTTTTTTTCGATTTTACAAAATTTCTGTTTTTTTTGATGTTTCAATGTTTCGACATTTTTTGGAATTTTTCAATCTACCGATTCTTACTTTTTTCGTTTTTTCGAATTGTAAATTTTTGGATTTCTATTTTTTTTTATTTTTCAGTCTTCAGATTTTTTAATTTCTCATTTTTCCATTTTTCAACATTAAGATTTAACGATTTTTTGGATGTTTCTTACAGGTTTTTAAATTTTTTTGATATTTCAATTTTTTGTATTTTCGAACTCTCGACATCTCAGTTTTCCGATTTTTAAAAACTTTGGACTTTTCAATTTTTCAAGTTTTGGATGACTCAATTTTTGAACACATTTCAATTGAAGGCATTTTCCAATGTTTGGAATTTAAAATTTTTCGATTGCTCCATCTTTCGATTTTTCGACTTCTTCGATTTCAATATTTGGGTTTTTCAATTTTTCAATTTTAAAATTTTTTGATTTATCGACTTTTTAGATTTAAAATTTTTCGGTTTCTCGGTTTCCCAGCATCTCCATGTTTCAATTTTTCAATTTGTTCTTTTTTTAATTTTTCAGTTTTTCGATTTTCTAAATTTTTCAGTTTTTCGATTTGCTAAATTTTAGATTTTTCGATTTCTCAAATTTTGGATTTTACGATTTTTTAACGTTTCGAATTCCCGAATTTTTAATTTTTTAATACTTTAATATATATTTCGGATTTTCAATTTCCCAACTTTTTGATGGTTTGACTGCTCAACCTTTCGATTTTTCGTCTTTTCGTAGTTCGATTTTTCGTTCTCTCACTTTTTTAAACATTTTAATTTCAGGAATTTTTCAATTTCTTGATTTTCCGATGTTAAAATGTTTGGGTTTTCTGACGTTTCCACATTTTTTGGAATTTTTCGATCTACCGATTCTAAAATTTTTCGATTTTTTTAATTGTAAATTTTTCTATTTCTCTTTTTTTTATTTTTCAGTGTTTAAATTTTTTAATTTTGCATTTTTTCATTTTTCAACATTTAGATTTTACGATTTATTAATTTTTATGATATTTCAATTTTTTGAATTACCGAACTCTCGACATCTCAGTTTTCCGATTTTTAAAAACTTTGGACTTTTCGATTTTTCAAATTTTGGATTTCTCAATTTTTCAGCACATTTCAATTGAGGGCATTTTCCAATTTTTGGAATTTTCAATTTTTCGATTGTTCCATCTTTCGATTTTTCGACTTTTCCGATTTCAATATTTGGGTTTTTCAATTTTTCACTTTTAAAATTTTTTGATTTATGGATTTTTCAATTTTCAAATTGTTCGGTTTTCCAGCATCTCGATGTTTCAGTTTTTCAATTTGTTCTTTTTTATTTTTTCAGTTTTTCGATTTTCTAAATTTTACAGTTTTCGATTTTATAAAATTTCTGGATTTTTGATGTTTTAATGTTTGGACAATTTTAGAATTTTTCAATCTACCGATTCTTAAATTTTTCGATTTTTCAAATTTTGAATTTTACGATTTTTTGACGTTTCGAATGTCCGATTTTTTAATTTTTTAATATCTTAATATAATTTTCGGATTTTCAATTTCTCAATTTCTCAAATTTTTGATGTTTTGACTGTTTAGTCTTTCGAGGGCATTTTCCAATTTTTGGAATTTCCAATTTTTCGATTGCTCCATCTTTCGATTTTTCGTCTTTTCCGATTTCAATATTTGATTTATCGATTTTCCAGTTTTTAAATTATACGGTTTCTCGATTTCTCAGCATCTCGATGTTTCAATTTTTCGAATAATTTTTTTTAATTCTTCAGTTTTTCGATTTTCTAAATTTTTCATTTTTCGATTTTACAAAATTTTGGATTTTTCAATTTTTTGACGTTTCGAGTTTTTTAACATGTCAATATATTTTTTGGGTTTTCAATTCCTCCACACGTGGGTTTTGCGATTTAAAAAATTTTTGATTTCCAGATTTTTCAATTTTTCAAAATTTAAATTTTAGAAAATTTTCAATTTACGGATTTTTGATGTATTAATATTTCCACATTTTTTGGAATTTTTCAATCTAGCGATTCTTAAATTTTTCAATTTTTCAAATTGTAAATTTTTGGATTTCTTTTTTTTATTTTTCAGTGTTTAGATTTTTTAATTTTGTATTTTTCCACTTTTCAACATTTACAGGTTTTTAAATTTGTTTGATATTTCAATTTTTTTTGTAATTTTTTGGATTTTCGAACTCTCGACATCTCAGTTTTTTCATTTTAAAAAATTTTGGACTTTTCGATTTTTTAAGTTTTTGAATTCCCAATTTTTCAACATTTCAAATTTGGGATTTTTTCAATATCTGGATTTTTTAATTTTTTGATGTTTTGATTTTTCGACTCTTCGTAGTTTCCAATTTTCGCATTCTTAATTTTTCAACTTTTAGTACTGATGATTTTTCGATTTCTCAATTTTTTTAACATTTCAATTTTGAGAATTTTTCAATTTCTGGATTTTTCTGTTTCAATGTTTCGATTTTTTTTTTATTTTTCGATCATCCAAATTTTTTGATATTTCGATTTACGGATTTTCTTAGATTTTTGATATTTCAATTTTCGGCTTTCCGATTTTGAAAAAATTTTAATTTTTCGATGGTTCCAATTTTCGATTTCTCAACTTTGTGATGTTTGGACTGTCCAATCTTTTCGGATTTCGATTTATCAGTTTTTAAATTTTTTTTATTTATTGTTTCATAAAATATACATTTTTGACACAGCAAACTAAGACATTTTCTGTATATCTACATCAATTTTATATTGTTGTTGATCTCCGAAAGTCGATAAAGGTGAAAACAATGCCCTTTACAACATTTTACAGTGAGTATATTGTGTAATTATTGTGAACCTAACTCAACGAAAATAAAATTTTTAATTTGTAATACAAAACTTATTTACCTTGTGACCTAAAACAGTACAGTGTAGAAAGTTTTCTTTCCGAAAAACTACACCGGCCATAGTTTTAGGAGGACATCATTCATTAGAAAACTGAACAAAGTCAATAGTTGTAAAAAGTGGTCTAAAATAATTCAAGGATTTCCAGAAAAATAGAAATTTACATAGCATTTTAGTTTGTGTTTTTGTCTTTATTTTTGAAGTAATGGTTCTTCGTGTATTATAGGAGAAAAGCCACATCATGGGGTCTTCGTCGAGTATTATGAGGCCTGAGGAGGTTAGTATGTTTTTAGTTTAGTGGATTAATTTTACTCTAGGCAAATGTTCATAAATTTACTCAAGAATTATTATTATTCTAAGATATATTTTCCAATTCCAATTTTTTGGTAGAAGTCGTCTTGTAAAAATTTATACAAAACACTATTTGCTAAAATAAAAAAAAAATGTCGATACGGCCACTAATTTTCGAAATAGGTGGATTCAAAATTAGAGTTTCAGAGTATCTCAAAATTTTGTCACATTTAGTTGTAGCGATTTTCAAAAATGGTAGGGATTTTCGAAGAAATAAAGCCGTAAAGAATTTCTAGAGTCCGAAATTAACAAAAGAGATTCTTTCAGTAATTTTCGATAGTGCTCATGAAAAGCTCAAAAATTTCATATAGAGGTGTATTGTAAAATTGAGCTTTTGGTGAATGTGTTTAAAAGTACATCTAAAAATCCCGGGAGATGGATTTCGATAGATTGAGACTAAAAGACTTCAAAAATACCACAGCTGTCGTAACATTTTTGCGAAGAACTAATTTCTTGCGCTTCCTGGAAAATCGGTTAGCCAAAAACTGTAAAAAAATTTTCTGGGACAGGAAAAAGGTTTTTCAAAATATTGGGGTTCCAAATTTTTTTTTTTAATTTATCAAATTTTGGTTTGGATTCTGGATTCTGGAAAAATGTTAAATCATGTTTCAGCTGATCGAGTTCCGGAAGCTCAACACCACCATCGAAAATGTGGAAGTGCCCGCCCGAGCGGAAAACAGGGTTGTCACGGATAAGAAAGGATTCGTGTTTTTTGGAATTGCTATACTACTTTTGGTAAGAAAATTTAGCTACCTTCCGCTTTTTCCATTTGGTGCCTTCCAGATACCATGCCTAGTGTACACCTTGATGACAGTAGACACAAGACTTATGACTCACGATACCGACAACTGCGGAAACTTCTGTGGACTCAACAACTCGCGACGCCCACGTGTTCCTTGCTCGGGTAAAGATTTCAGATCGAAACCGTAAGTCCCGGTACTAACTTGTCCAAATCTTGAACCCTTTTTTTTCCAGAGACGTGGATGGAAACGGCGAATGTACTAAATTGTTGTTCAGGAATGAGTTCCGCAGCTTGGGTGGAAGATCGTATACGCTTGACTTCAAAGAATTGGTACTTTAAGTTTGTACTTTTACTTAATAGTACTTATTTCAGTTTGTTTCTAGATGGGTGAAAGTGAAAGCGTGTGGTGGAGGTACGTCTTGGCGATATTTTTCACAATCGGTTAGAATTTTCTTAAATGTATAGTAATATTAATTTCTAATCCGGTGTATACAGTTCTAGGTGTACTCACACTGGTACTACTAAGGTTTGCCCCAGCTCCGTTTGTGTGGGGTATTTTGACTATATCGATGTTGGGTTTATTGGCTATTACAGGATATCATTGGTACCGCTATCCGAGTATATAAAACCTTTCTAGATTTGTTTTTTAGGGTTTTGTACTTCCAAAACGATGAAATATCGTGGCCACCAAGGGAACAAGTGCCTCTTGCAAGTGTTATTTTTTGGACAATTTTTTGTTTTATAATGATGGTGATTCTTTTGGTCGTCTCTAAACGAATAGGTTTGGTTATTCAGTTATACAAAGAAACAACCAAAGTTCTTGCTGCTATGCCCTCAATAGTGTTCTTTCCGATATTCGTAAGTACTCCATTTAGAATCACACTGATGCTCAAATTTGATTTTCAGATAGCATTCATCCAAATTATTGTATTCATAGCAGCCATAGTTACCACTTTTTGGATGTTGTTCGCCCAAAAACTGACAAAAGAAGGTCCAAACCTGTACACGTACCAACTGTCTGGAATCGCTATTTTCACAATCGTTTTCAATGTAATCGTCGCCAGTTGGGTTATGCGATTTATTGCAGGAATTCAGTACATGACCATTGCTGGAAGTGTGGCACAGTGGTACTTTTCCAGAAACAAAGACCAGTTGAATTCTCCAGTCTGGACTAGTTTTAAAATTACACTGAAGTACCACCTTGGAACTATCGCATTCGGATCTTTCTTGATGACGCTGTTCGCCGTAGTGAAGATACTTCTGAAGATAATTTTCAGAAACGCGTGCTGCAAGTGTTTCATGAAATTGTGCTGCAACAATGCAGAGATGCTCCTGAAATTCTTGTCTGGAAACTCTTATATACAAACGGGTTAGTAAAACGCAGTATGCTTCTTCAGAAAAATTGGTCTAAAGAGTTTAGACAGTACTTCCCTCTCTGTCGGAAACTTGACGACTGCATGCCTATTGTGTTTTTTTTCTCATTACATTTTTGTAGTGGGAATTTAAAAAAAAATGTGATGACGTCATCAACATTTTTGCAAGGACACGTATATCAGTTGGGATAGATGTAGTGTAATACTAAGAATAAAATTATTATATTCTCAAATTTTCGGGAAAATGAATTGGGTCGTTTTGAATATTGATTTGTAATAATCAATAAAATAACGAAACAATTTACTCACGTATACGTATCAGAGGCAACTGAAAATCGTGTATGTATAAACATTCTTAATTTAAGATGACAGGCGTAACACCATACGTGAGAGTCAAACAGAGAAACTGTAAACAAAACGACCATCGGTTTTATTGCTTCGACTTCCGCTTATTATATAAAACATTGGGTTTTATTTTAATTCTTGACGGTGAAATTCACAATTGGTTGATTATAAACATGTCTATTTCACATTCGCGGAACCAAGTGAACGCATAAAACAAATGCAGGTCTGTAATGTTAAAGTCGATGTAAATAAGCGTGCTACCCTTATGTTTCAACCGAGTTTTTCCTTTAACAAATTTTGTGTCTACCAAATTGGGTTGGTTGGGGTGTAATACTAATAATAAGCGTTGCCTTTAATTTAATCAATAAAATAAATTGACTTCATTAATTTTTTTGAACCACCTCTTAAGAAAATCTAAAAAATATGAATGGAATGATAAATCACAAGTACAAACTCATCATATTGTTTGCATTTTAGATAGGATTTATTCAGCAAAATTTAAGGGTGACGTCATCAATTTTTTTAGGAGGGATGAACAAATACATTTTGAACAAAAGTTTACCATGCTTATAATAACTTTAAAATATTCCCAAAATTTCAAAGCATTCGGTTTTCTAATTCCTGATTAAATCGATAAAATAAATTCACGCCTTCATTAATTTTTTTGAGTCACCCTGCATATGCAAATCAAAAAATATGATTGGAATGATAAATCACAAGTACAGACTCATCATATTTTGTACATTTTAGATACGATTTATTCGGCAAACTTTTGAGCTGACGTCATCAGTTTTTTGTAGAAGATAACCAAATATATTTTGACTAAAAATTTATTATGCTCTTTATAACCTTAACATCTGCACGATTTCAAAGCATTCGGTTTTGTAGTTCCTGATTAAATCAATAAAATAAATTTACGCATTCATTAATTTTTTTGAGTCACCTGTATATGCAAATCGAAAAAATTTGAATGGAATGATAAATCACAAGAAGAGACTCACCATATTTTGTACATTTTAGATAGGATTTATTCAGCAAAATTTTGTGGTGACGTCATAAATTTTTTAGGGGGGACGACCAAATACGTTTTGATCAAAAATTTACCATGCTTATGATAATTTTAAAATATCTTCAAGATTTCGAAGCATTCGGTTTTGTAGTTCCTGAGTAAATCAGTAAAATAAATTTACGCTTTCATTTATTTTCTTGAATCACCCTGTATATGCAAATCCAAAAAATATGAATGGAGTGATAGATCACAAGTACAGACTGATCATATTTTGTACATTTTAGATATGATTTATTCGGCAAATTTTCGAGCTGACGTCATCAAGTTTTTGGAGGGGATAAGCAAATATATTTTGACTAAACATTTATTATGCTCTTTATAACCTTAAAACATCTGCAAGATGTCAGAGCATTCCGTTTTGTAGTTCCTGATTAAATCAATAAAATATATTTACGCATTCATTAATTTTTTTGAGTCACCCTGTATATGCAAATCCAAAAAATATGAATGGAGTGATAGATCACAAGTACAGACTCATCATATTTTGTACATTTTAGATATGATTTATTCCACAAATTTTTGAGCTGACGTCATCAAGTTTTTGGAGGGGATAAGCAAATATTTTTTGACTAAAGATTTATGATGCTCTTTATAGCCTTAAAACATCTGCAACATTTCAAAGCATTCTGGTTAGCAGATTAAAAATTAAATTTCAAAATGTTGTTTTATAATTTTGATTTTTTTTCCAAAAATCTGGACGTTTCGGGTGAAAAGTCGATTCGGAGTTGTAAACTACATGTGTAGGACTATGTTATTTTATACAATTGAAAACCCATTTACTATGTACAATTTTGAAGTGACGTCATCGCATTAGTGGTGGGGATGATTAGACAAATTTTGGTTAGCGTTTTACCATCTACATGATATTCTTAATATAAGTACAAAATTTCACAACAATCGATCGAGTACTTTCGGAGATTATCTGTCTAATAAAAATCCGGGACAACAGACGGACAGACGGACGGACAGACGGACGGACAGACGGACGGACAGACGGACGGACAGACGGACGGACAGACTGACGGACAGACGGACGGACAGACGGACAGACAGACGGAAATGGGAGACCTATTTCTTCGTCTTCTAGGGGTCATGAAAGATCGAGAAAACGTAAAAGTAGAGAGTCGGCCGACGGACTCGATTACAATACTTCCTTTGCTTACGCTCGGGAAGTAAAAATGTAAATGTTTTAGCAATTCATGGCCAGTCTTTTCTGAGATCGGCCAAGCGAGCCACAAAACTACTTCTGAAAAATCTTGCTAACATTGTCGTGATAAGCTGTGCCGGAGATTTTATTTTGGGTGTAATTATAGCTCTTGTAGCTGTACTAGCCTCAGCAATTTCGTTCGCACTCTTTAAGGTAACGTTTTTATAACACAGTTTTACACTGTCTTAACGTGAATTTTTTTCAGGATACTCATGATCCAAAAGAAGCTACATCCATCTGTTTTGTCATTAACATTGTCATTATTTGCGTGATATTTGGGACCTTCCAAGTGAGTCAACCTAGCACAGTACAAACTATTAATAACTAACCAATGCTTCCAGACCATCATCGACACCCTCTTCATCTGCTTCTGTGAAGACTCAATCATGAATGACGGTATCTCAAGACCCTACTACATGTCTCGAGGTCTGATGGAGTTTATCGAAAATTCGAAGAAAGGGCAGCCGCAACCAGTTACAGAATAAAATCTATGTCTAATTCTGCATCTTCATCTATACCCTGAAGATGCAAAGTATTTAACGAGCGTAATTCAAAGTTCAAATTACGAGTCAGTGCCAACTAGTTTGTAGTTCGTTCCTCTTGATCTATGTACAAATTATAGAAGGCGTCAATTATATTGTGTCAAAATAACTGCCTTCCGATATTCTTGTAGCGTCATTCTGTGTGATATTTGTTAAAGCAACGTCCAAACTATTTTAGGTTCAAACCTACCTCGTATCTCGTCTGTTTAATAAACACGCACATAAATGTTTATATTTATAAACTAACTTTAGTTATGTGTCTAAGTGCTTATTTCGGATCTGCCATTTGGCACTATTTTTTTGATATTAATATTTTTATTTTGTTTAAGTAGGGTTATTTTTGTAAGCCGAACCAATTGAATGATCTAGTTCCTAATATTAATTATTAATCTATGATGTAATAATTGTAGATAGATAACAATGTTTATAATATTTGTGTGTATATTGATCTGATACTGGACAATAAATCTTGTATACAACATGTGTTTTAAATTGACACTTTTATGATATACCATTATAGACTCCTAAACTTGTGGTGTACGAATTCAAATCAAACACATTGATACATGAAGTTCTTTCAACGTATAAACATAACCACTGAAAGTTAAGCTTGTTGTAGTTGCTGAGAGGACAATTTTTCTCTTTGGTTTTCTGCTTTAAAATATTTTACATTGTCCATATGGGTGACTTGTTTGTCAGCTGGTTTTTACTTTAAAGAAGTTATCACAAAACGCAAATTACAAAAACAAATTTTATCTAACCCTTTGTAAGATTTTTTTATGATAAATTGTTAAATTACACAATTTCTGTTCTTTAAAGCACATTTGGCCGATTAAAATGTGTACTTGATAATCTCTGATGTTCTATTTCTGGAAACATTTGAAAGTATATTGAGGCCCACTGGTGTGTTTTTTTTTTAATGCTTTGAAAGAATTCTCAAGGCCCTTTGTGTTTATTTTTGAAAAAAAAAAAATAATAAACCTCGTTTTACGCTGGTGTTTTTTGAAAGAAAGAAATTTTAAAGAGTCTTGGGGTTCTAATGTTTTATTTTGCAAACCGATCTGAAATAATCTTGGGGTTTTCGGTATTTTACTTTTGGCAGAATGTGAAAGAATCTTGGGGATCCCTGATATTTTATTTTTGGAAAAAACTGGGAGAATTTTGAGATTTCCTAGTGCTCTATTTTTAAAAGAATTTGAAAGTGTCCTGGAGTCCTCTGGTGTTTTGTTTTTGAAAGAACTTTAAAGAAATTTGGAAGCCCTTGGTATTTTACCTTAGGGTCCTACGATGTTTTATGTTTGGAGGAATTTGAAAGAATCTTGGGGTAACTTTATGTTTTAAGAAGAATTTGAAGGAATTTTGAGATTCCTTGGTGTTTTATTTTTGGAAAAATTTTAAGTATTCTTTGAGACCTGATATTTAATTTTGAGGAACTTTAGGCTCACCTGCTGTTTTGTTTTGGAAAAAAAAAAATGAGGAATTCTTGAAGTCCTCTAGAGTTTTGTTTTTGAAAAGAATTGAAGGAATCTTGGGTGGTGTTTTGTTTTTGAACAAATTTGAAGAAATCTTAAGGTGCTCTGGCGTTTTTGTTTTTGGACGAATTTGAAGGAATTTTGGGGTAACTTCGGTGTTTTGTGTTTGGAAGAATTTGGAAGAATCTTGGGGTCCCCTGGCCCTTTGTTTTATTTTGAATAAAGCTTGGGATTCTTTGGTGTATTGTTTTTGAGAAAATCTAAATGAATATCGAGTTGCTCTGGTGTTTTATTTCAAAAAGAATTCGAAAGAATGTATCTTGGATTTCTATTGAGTCTGGTTTTTGGAAAAACTTGAAAACATTTTGGAGTTCTCTAGTGTTTTGTTTTTGGAAGACCCTAAAGAAATCTTGGGGTCCCTTGGTATTTTGTTTTTGGAAGAATTTTAAAGAATCCTGAAGGCCTCTGGTATATTATTGTTGGAGGAATTTTTCAAAGAATGTTAAGATTACCTTGTGTTCTGTTTTTAAAGGAATTTGAAAGAATTTTGGTATTCCCTAGTGTTTTATTCTGAAAAGAATTTGAAGGAATGATGAAACCTGGCGTTTTGTTTTTGGGCAAATTTTAAGAAATCTTGGTATCCCCTTATTCCTTGGTGTCTTATTTATTGAAAAATTCGAAAGAATGTCCTCTGGTGTTTTATTTTTGGCAGAATTTGAAAGAATCCTGGTGACCCCTGAATTTTTTATTTTTGAAATAATTTGAGAGAATTTTGAGATCTATTTTTAAAAGAATTTGAAAGTATCTTGGAGTTCTCTGGTTGTTTGTTTTTGGAAGGATTTTAAAGAAACTTGGAAGCCCTTGATGTTTTAATTTGAGAAGAATTCGTAGGGATCCAATTTTTTATTTTTGGATTTTTTGTTTAAAGAGGTTTGGGGGGCTTGGAACTTTATTTTGAGGAATTTTAGGGTCATTTGGTGTTTTGTTTTTGAAAAAAAAAACAAGAAATCTTGAAGTCTCCTAGAGTTATGCTTTCGGAAGGATTTGAAGGAAACTTAGGGCTCCCTTGGTGTTTTGTTTTTGAACAAATTTGGCATTTTTGTTTTTGGAAGAATTTGGAGGAATTTTGGGGTTCTCCTGGTGTTTTGTTTTGGAAGAACTTGAAGAAAGCTTGGTATCATTTGGTGTTTTGTTTTTGGGAAAATTTGAATGAATATTGTGTTGCGCTGATGTTTTATTTCAAGAAGAATTCGAAAGAATCTATCTTGGAGTTCTATGGAGTCTTACTTGCTGGAAGAATTTGAAAAAAATCTGTGTTTTGTTTCTGTAAAACTTGAAGAAATCTTGGGGTCCCTAGTGTTTTATTTTTGAAATAATATTAAAGATCTTTGAAGGTTCCTGGTGTTTTATTTTGAGAAGCATTTGAATGAATGTAGGAATTGCGTAGTGTTTTATTTTTGGAAGAATTTTAAAGAATTCTGAAGCCCCCTGTTATATTATTTTTGGAGACATTTTTGAACGAATATTAAGATTCTCTCCTGTTTTGTCTTTAACGGAATTTAAAAGAATCTTGGGCTTTCTTTTGTTTTATTTTGAAAAGAATTTGAAGGAATTTTGCGGACCCCTGATATTTTAATTTTAGAAAAATTTGAGAAAGTCTTGAGATCCCCTAGGGTTCTATTTTTAGAAGAATTTGAAAGCATTCTGATGTCCTCTGGTGTTTAGATTTTAAAAGAATTTTAAAGAAACTTGAAGATATTTGGTGCTTTACTTTCAAAGGAATTAGAAGGAAGAATTCGAAAAAATCTTGCTGCAAACTTATGACTTATTTTAAGAAGAATTTGAAGGAGTTTTGGAATTCCTGGTATTTTACCATTGGAAAAGTTTTAAAAAGTTTTGGAGGCCCCTGGTATCTTATTTTGAAGAATCTTGGGGGTCATCTGGTGTTTTGTTTTTGAAAAAAAAAGAACAAATCTTGAAGCCTTCTAGGGTTTTGCTTTTGGAAAGATTTAAAGGAATTTTGGGGGTCCCCTGGTGTTTTGTTTTTGAAAAAGTTTGAAGAAATCTTGGAGTCCCCTAGTGTCTTATTTTTTGAAAAATTTTAAAAAATTTTGAAGGCTCATGATATTTTATCTTCAGAAGCATTTGAACTAATCTTGAAGTTCACTAGTGTTTGAAAAATTTGAACAAATTGGGGGTGCCCTGATGTTTTATTTTTGAAAAAAAGTAAAGAAATGTTGGAGTTCTCTAGAGTTTTATTTTTGGAATAATGTTAAAGAACTTTAAAGACTTCTGGTGTTTTATTTTGAGAAGCATTTGAACGAATCTTGATGTTCCCTAGTGTTTTATTTTTGAAAGAATTTGAACACATCTTCGAGTGTTCTAATGTTTTATTTTTGGAAGAAATTTGAAGAATTCTGGGGGCCCCTGGTGTTTTATTTATGGAAGAATTTGAAAGAATGTTTGAAGCCTGGCGTTTTGTTCTTGAATAAATTTTAAGAAATTTTGCGATTCTTTAGTGTTTTATTTTAGGAAAATTCGGAAAATTGTTGAGGTCTCTGAAGTTTTATTCTTGGCAGAATTTGAAAGAAATTTGGGGACCCCTGATATTTTATTTTTGAAAGACCTTGATAGAATTTTGCGATTCCCTAGTGTTCTATTTTTAAAAGAATTTGAACGTATTCTGACATCCTCTGGTACTTGGTTTTTAAAATAATTTAAAGGAACTTGGAGATCTTTGGTGTTTTAATTTGAAAAGAATTCAAAAGAGTCGAATACTTCTTTGTTTTTGGAAGAATTTGAAAGAATCATACGGTAACCATATGTTTTATTTTAAAAGAATTTGAAGGAATTTTGTGATTTAAAAAATTGTGGAGGCCCTTGGTATTTTATTTTGAGAAATTTTGGGGTCATTTGGTGTTTTGTTTTTGAAAAAAAAAGAAAAACTCTTGAAATTTTCTAGAGTTTTGTTTTGAAAAGATTTGAAGGAATTTTGGGGTCCCTTGGTGTTTTGTTTTTGAATAAATTTGAAGAAATCTTGATAGTTCTCTAGTGTTTTAATTTTGGAATGATTTTAAATAACTTTGAAGGGTCGCTGTGTTTTATTTTGAGAAATATTTGAACGAATCTTAGGGTTCCCAAGTGTTTTATTTTTGGAAGAATTTGATTTGAACGCATCTTCGAATGTTTTGTTTTTGGAAGAGTTTTAAAAAATCCTGAGGGATCGTGGTGTATTATTTTTGGAGAAATTTTTGATATTGAGATTCCTTCGTGTTCTGTCTTTAACAGAATTTGAAAGAATCTTGGGCTCCCTTGTGTTTTATTTGGAAAAGAATTTGAAGATATCTTGAGGTTTCCGGTGTTTTATTTTTGGAAGAATTTGAAAGAATCTTGATATTTTATCCCGAGAGTTCTATTTTTAATGGAATGTGAAAGCATTCTGATGTCTTCTGGTGTTGAGTTTTTGAAAGAATTTTAAAGAAACTTGGAGGTCCTTCGTGTTTATTTTGAGAAGTTTTCTAAAGAATCTGGTTTTCTGTCTTTGGAAGAATTTGAAAAAATCTTGCTGCAACCGTTCTTTTATTTTAAGAAGAATTTGAAGGAATTTTGGAGTACCTGGTGTTTTACCCTTGGGCAAATTTTAAAAACTTTTGGGGCCCCCTGGTATTTTATTTTGAGGAATCTTGGAGTCACTTGATGTTTTGTTTTTGAAAAGGTTTAAGGAATTTTGGAGGTCATCTGGTGTTATGTTTTGAAGAAATCTTAAGTAAAGGTGTTCTGGCGTTTTTTTTAAGAAAGAATTTGAAACAATTTTGGGATTCCTTGGGCCTTTGTTTTTGTAAAGATCTGAATGAATATTGAAGTGCCTTGGTGTTTCATTTAAAAAAAAATTCAAAGGAATCTATCTTGAAGTTCCATCCAATTTTATTTTTTAGAAAAATCTGGAAAAATTGGGGGTGCCTTGGTGTTTTATTTTTGAAAAAAAGTGAAGGAATCATGGAGTCCTCTAGAATTTTATTTTTGGAATAATATTAAAGAATTTGGAAGACTTCTGGTGATTAATTTTAAGAAGCATTTGAACGCATCTTCAAGTGTCCTAATGTTTTGCTTTTAGAAGAAATTTGAAGAATCCTGGGGGCCCCTGGTGTTTTATTTTTGGAGACATTTTTTGAAAGAATGTTGAAATTTCCTTTTTTAAAATAATAAAATTTTTATTTTTAAAAAGAATTTGAAGGAATCTCGAGGTTTCCGATGTTTTATTTTAGGTCTCTGGTGTTTTATTCTTGGCAGAATTTGAAAGAAATTTGGGGACACCTGATATTTTATTTTTGGAAGAACTTGACAGAATTTTGCGATCCCCTAGTGTTCTATTTTTAAAAGAATTTGGTAAAATTCTGACATCCTCTGGAATTTAGTTAAAAAAAATTAAAGGAACTTGGAGACCCTTAGTGTTTTACTTTGAAAAGAATTCGAAGGGATCTTAGGCTGCAATGATTTTTCGTTTTTGGAAGAATTTGAAAGAATCTTGCGGTAACCATATGTTTTATTTTAAAAGAATTTGAAGGAATTTTGTGGCTTAAAAAGTTCTCGAGGCTCTTGGTATTTTATTTTGAGGAATTTTGGCGTTTTGTTTAAAAAAAGACAAAATCTTGAAGTTTTCTAGAGTTTTGTTTTGAAAAGATTTGAAGGAATTTTGGGGGTCCCCTGGTGTTTTGTTTTTGAATAAATTTGAAGAAATCTTGAGGTGAGGTGTTCTGGTGTGCGTATTTTTGGAAGAATTTGAAGAAAATTTAGGGTTCCTCTGGAGTTTTGTTTTTTTAAAGAATTTGAAGAAATGAGGGGTGCCCTGATGTTTTGTTTTTGAAAAAATTTGAAGAAACCTTCGTCTCTAGTGTTTTAATTTTGGAATAATATTAAATAACTTTGAAGGCCAGTTGCGTTTTATTTTGACAAGTATTTGAAGGAATCTTGGGGTTCCCAAGTGTTTTATTTTTGGAAAAATTTTACAGAACATTGAAGAGTTCTGGTATTTTATTTTGAGAAAAATTCGAACAAGTCTTAGAGTTCCCTGGTGTCTTGTTTTTGGAAGACCTTGAAGAAATTTTGCCATGTCCTGGTGGTCTTAAAGGCCCTTATTGTTTTATTATGAGAAAAAATTGAAGAATTCTTGAAGACTTCTAGAGTTTTGGGGTCCCCATGTGCTTTGTTTTTGGAAAAATCTGATTAAATATTGGAGTGCCCTGATGTTTTATACCCAGACGAATATAAGAATCTGAGATTCTCCTGGTGTTCCGTTTTTGAACTAATTTTTAAAAATGTTGAGGTTCCATGGAGTTTTCGTTCTTTGAAGAATTTGAAAGAATCCTGGACTCCCCTGATGTATTTTTAGATGAATTTCAAAGACTTTTGGGGCCCTGTGGTATTTTCGTTGGCATCACAATAGACCGAAAAAATGTTATTCACATACAAAACTTGTTGACACTTGCTGCAGTTAATTACTTGGTTTATCTAAATCCAGTTATCAGCTGTACTAAACCACAACTTCAGAAAAATGTTAATCAAACACGCCCTTGATGCGGTGGCTTCAAAAATCACACCCAAACCTTATTAAAATGACTCACAACAAAATCAGTGAGTAAACTTTCAAGAAATGTCAAGACCAATTTCGAGATAACACGAAATCAAGAAAACAAACAGACAGACAGAATAGACGTTCCCGTATTACGACGATTTTGAGTAGTGTTTATTGCCGATAAGATTACCACTATCACTCACGAAAAATTGTGTCATTCCTGCTGCCACTACAACTCGCCGGACTGAAACTCTACCCTAGTAAGTTCTTTCTCTGATAATAATTCTAATCTTAACCAAATATGTAACAAGTGACGCCGTCGCAACCAAGGTTAAAAATGTTTAGACAATTTTCACCAAAACCGTGTTTAGAATGCCTCCATTGTACACATTTACACAAAAACAAAACACAATTTTTGCGAACTTAATTAACAATTTAATAGCGATGTTGGCGAATTCCAGCCGTGCTAAATTTTCTACTATTCGTATTTAAGGTACCACAAAATGGGGACTACGTCGAGCATTTTGAGAGAGCAAGAGGTAAGAATGTAAAAATTGCTTCGTTCCACTGACGCCCTTATTACAGCTAAACGAATTTCGAAAACTCAATCCCGACGAGGAAACCGATTTCGAACTGCCGATACCGCCCGAAAAACGCAAACTTACGGACAAAAAAGGATTCGTAATTTTTGGAATTTTGATGTTAATTTTGGTTCCATTCATGATTTATACGTTGGTGAAATCGGACATTCGGAGGATCAGGCATGGTATTGATAGCTGTGGTAACATTTGTGGGGTCAAAAACTCAAAAGTTAGTGGAGTGGAGTGCTCAGGGCAGGATTACACAAACATGCCGTAATTTATTTTTTGAAAAAAAAAAACGGTGATATTTTAAGATTCGTTTCAGGTATGTCAAAGTTAATGTACTTACGAATGAAAAATCGTGTACGGATGAATGCCCACCAGGCTAGTAAGTAGTTAGTAATTTTATGTTTTATTAGTTAGTAACAAATGGGTTTTTGCAGTATTCAAGGTGATAACTCCTGCTATGGTGGAGACCCATTTACAGGAGATGTGTCTATAGAATCAGTCGTATGTATCTAAGCAGTGGAATTTTTAACCAAAATAAAAATAACTCTTTTAGGACCTCTGGGTTTACTGCTTAAACTTGTGGTGGAAGTTTATAATCATAGCGCTTATTACAACAGGTAGTGTCTAATTTAATTTGATCAATCCTCTAATAGTAACTTCTTCTAGTTCTATGCAGTTTGACTTTAATTTTATTCAGATATTTCCCTGGAGTCCTAGTCTGGGGGGTTTCCATTCTTAGCTTAATTGTAGCAATTGCACTAACTGGAATTTTCTGGTACGTACTTATTTCACATAGATATAGATGACATTTTTTCTTTATAGGTGGGCAGTCACTCAGACCCGATCTGGAGACCCCGACAAGCCAGGATTTATAGCGCTTGCCCTCATATCAACCATATTCACCATCAGTATCACCATTCTATTCATTTTTCTGTTCAGAAAGCTCCAGCTGATTATTCTCTTGTACAAAGAAACCACAAAAGCGATGTTCGCCATGCCAGGAATAATATTTTTACCAATCTTGGTACAACTTCATCATTGAAAACGTTTATATTGATTTTTGTGTTATAGACCCTGGTTTTGCAACTCTTGGTATTAGCTCTCTTGGTCACCACCACAACATTCATGGGAACGTCAGCAGAACTTAAAGAAATCGAAAACAGTGGCAACTATTTCTACGAAACTAACGGAGTGGTGAAATTTACCATGGTTTTCAACGTGGTTGTTACCATATGGGCGCTACAGTTCTTCGCGGGTTGTCAGTATATGGTGATAGCCGGAAGTGTGGGTCAGTGGTTCTTCAAAGGGTAAAACGACTGTCGGTACCGAGGGTTTAAATTAAGACTATGTTGTAGCGACCCTTTGAAAGCTCCCATAGCTACCAGTTTTACCAACACGATGAGGTTCCATCTAGGGACTATAGCGTTTGGTTCCTTTATTATCACTCTGGTGGCTATCATTAAAGCGCTAATAAAATCCCTCATTAGTAACGCGAGATTAAGATGGCTTGTGGACTGTTGTTGTGGGAATATCGAAGCACTTTTGAAGTTTTTGTCGAAAAATGCCTATGTAGAAACGGGTAGGAAAAATATTTAGTAGTTTGTAGCGGGGCTTCTAGCCCACTTTGACCTCATTTGACCCCAACACCAATCACTTGTACCGATTGTTCCAGCAATATATGGCCAGTCCTTCCTCAGGTCCGGAAGAAGAGCTGCCAAATTACTAATCACTAACCTCGGAAGCGTCATCGCTATCAATTACGTCGGCGATTTTATTCTAGCAATGACCCAGTTTTTGATTCTTGCAATTTCAACAGCGATTGCTTATGGAATTTTCCTAGTAAGTATTTTTTTTACTATGTGAAACATAAACCGATTTTTTTCTAGAATGAATCTTTCGTTGTGTTACCCACAGTCTTCGCTTTCATTCTCAATTTGCTTATTGTCTTGATCGTATTTAGTGTTTTTGAGGTAAGTCGCTAATTATAAAAAAAATATTTTTTGAAAAATCCATTTCCAGACGATTGTTGACACTCTGTTCATTTGCTTCTGCGAAGACACCGCTCTTAACGATGGTAGTGAGAGTAAACCCTTTAAAATGACGACAGGTTTTAAGCAGTTCATGGACAAGTCGCAGCAAGTTTACGAACGGAATTAGGGTTTTTTAATTTTTTGTTCATTGTAAAAATAGATATTAAAAAAATTTAAGTTTGTATTATTCGAATACATTATAACGCAGCGGGGCACCATCTTGTTGTTGTAATTATCTGTTAATCTCATCAACACGTGTGATTCATCATTTATTTTGTTTAAGTACGTGAAATGCAAGTCACTTGTGCATTATTTTTCATTTAAGACAGGTGTGAGTAATTTCCGTTTGAGATTTTAACAAATCGATAAAACTGATTTGTTTGTGAATGGTTGGGGTTAAGTTGGTGTCAACGCATAATCAAAAATCTCTCAAAGACAATCAAAATGTTTAGGTTATCTAAGATTAATACCACAGAAAGCAAGTAATGCGGAGTTTTCCGAACCGTATTCAATTCAAATGTATTCAGGGTTGATGAAATACACGTGGAAAGGATTGATTTATTAAACATCGTACTGACCTCTTTGTGGGTTTTAAATCAATAACTTACTAATGTTGTAGTAGAGGTAGGTTAGAACAGTTTGCGTACAATCTTTGTCAATTAAAAAAACACCAAAAGTGCCTTCTTTTGGAAAATTACAACCGGCAACACTGCACAGTATTAAAAAGATTAAAAAAGGGAAGAATGAGGAGGTAGGTATGAGAGTTTACAAAGTATTGGCACTACAATCATGTTGATCATTGACACTTTAATCACATTTAGTTTTCAAGTAAAGTCAAATCAAAGTTTTGATGTCGAGATTATTTAAAATTTTAGTAGAAATTTTGGTTTTGACGATTTGACACTGAGATTTTCAACACATGACTCACCTGGATAGCGATCATTTGAAAGTCATAAACGACAACTACATTGTGCGTAAGAAGTGCCATAACAATCGTTATCACTTTATCGCACTACAATGCATGATTCATTTTATGTTTTGGTATCGGTTTCATCTAATAAACATAAAAACAACCACTGTAAATATTGTTATGTTCACTTGAAAAAAGTTGTCATGTTGTAGATTGTCTGAAAAATAATGCCAACACTTTTTCCACTGCAAACAGTGTTGTTGAGTTTTGATATTAGTCACGGAGATTTTTTCGAGTGGTCAGTTGTAGTTGATAACATTGCCAAGGGCGCACGTACATGAGTGTGAGTCGGTTGCAGTGGAATTTAAAAAACACATTTTTTCACTGAAACTGATGAGTGATGAAAAATATAGTTTATATAGGTTATAGTTTTAAAATTAACAGAATGTAAAAACGTGTTGTCGTTTTTTTGGTCAACTTTTTTTCCGTCTTGTTACTATTTTTGTGGTTTTTTGGCGATTTTTATTTTGGGGTATTTTTGATAGTTCTTTTTGTCGTCTTTTCCGTTGCTTTTTTCTTGAATCGCTGTTTCGTAATTTTTTTTCCCCTTTTTTTGTCGCTTTTCTGTCGTTTTTTCGTTTCTTTAGTCGCCTTTTTTGTTGCCTTTTCCTTTATTGCTTTTGTAAACTGCTTTTTTTATTACTTGAAAGAAAAAGTTTATGGTTTTTTGGCCGTTTTTCTGCCATTTTTATTTCACATCTTTGTTTTTTTGCTCTTATTTTTGCCATGATTTTTGTCGGTTTTATTGGTGTCTTTTGTGTTGGAACTTCTTTCGCCCTTTTTGGTAGTTCATTTTTACCCCTTCTGCTTGTACTTTTTTTGATAAATATTTGTCATCTTTATTTTCCGTCTTTTCACTGTTTTTCATCACTTTTTTTGTAGCATTTTTTTTGAGAGTTTTTTATGGTCCCATTTCTTGTCGCCTTCTATGTAGCTTTTTTTACCGTCTTTTCTTGTCGTTCTTTTATTCATCTTTTTCTTTCACTTTTTTTGTTGCTTCATTCATCGAATTTTTAGCGATTCTTTCTTGTATTTTTTTTTAAATCTCTTTGTTATCGCTTTTTCAGTGCATTTCTCGCTTTTAACAATTTTCCGTGGTCTTTTTTGAAGTCCTTTTTATCGACATTTTTTATGCCATTTTTTACTTGTGCTCCCCACGGTTCCGCAGCCACTTTTTGCCATTTTTATGCCTATTTTTGCTACGATTTTGGTCGTTTTTATTGGTAATCCTTTTTTGGTGCCCTTTCTTTTGTTTTTTTTTATTTTTATCCTTTTTCCATTTTTTGTAGCATTTTTGATCGCTTTTTTTGTAACATTTTTTGGGACCATCGTAAGTACCCTTTTGGTCTCGATTTTTATTATAGGTTTTTCCGCTTTTTCGTTTTATTGATCGATTTTGTGTTTTTTTGCGGAACTTTTTCGCCTTTTTTGTGTCGTTTCTGTTTTTACATTTTTTCGTAATTTTTTTGTCATTATTTTAATTCTACTTTTTTCTCCATTTTTGCAGCATTGTTTTTTTTGCCATTTTTTTCTTGTTGTCTGTTTTACGTCTTTTTTTGGCAGATTCGTTTTTTGTTGCCTTTTTTTTTGTGGTTTCTCTTTTCATTTTTCAGTTTCTCTTCTTTTGTCGTTTTTATTGGTGTCTTCTTTTGAGCCCTTTTCTTGGTGTTTTTTGGAGATTTTTTTTGTAATTTTTTTTACAATTTTTTAAAATTTTTTTTTGTCGCCTATTTAGTCGTTTTTTGTTGAATTTTCTTTTATTGCTTTTTAAATAGTTTTTTTTTATTACTTTTTGGTAACATTTTTTAAACCTTCTTGTCGTTTCATTAATTTTTGTGGCATTTTCGTAATTTTTTGAGACCTTTCTTCAACCTTTATTTCATTGATTTTTTTTATCATTGTTTCCATCTTTTTTCCGTAGCCATTTTTTTTTCACAATTTTTGTCGCGTTTTTTGTTTTTTGTTTTGTTTCTATTTTTGCTAAGATTTTGTCGTTTTTATTGCTATATTTTTCCTTTGTAGCTTTTTTCACGATTTTTGGTAGTCCATTTTGTCCTGTTTTTAAAAGCCTTTTTTGGAAATTTTTTTGTCATCTTTAATTTCCGTCTTTTTTTATCACTTTTTGTAGCATTTTTTGGTACCTTTCTTATGTCCCCATTTTTTGTCGCCTTCTGTGCAGCCTTTTTTACTGTTCTAATCGTTTTCGTGTCATCTTTTTTGTTTCGATTTTTTTGTAGCTTCTTTTATCAAATCTTTAGTGATTTTGTTTGTATATTTTTTTAAATCTTTTTTTCAATTGTTTAGAGTATTTTTTTGTTTGTTTTGCAATTTTTGTCGACCTTTTTTACACCTTTCTTTGCTTGTATCTCCCGCCCTTCCGCAGAAATTTTTTAGCATTTTTTGCGCCTATTTTTGCTACGATTTTTATCGTTTATATTGATGCCTTTTCTAGGTGTATTTTCTTTGGTACATTTATTGGTGCTTTTTTTTTTCTGCCCTTTATTTTGGTATTTTTTGGTGATTCTCTTGTCCTTGTTTTGCATTTTTTCGTTGTCTTTTTAAGCCTTTTTTTTGTCTGATTCCTTTTTTTTTGGCTTTTTAAAATCGTTCCTTTTTCGTAGCCGTTTTTGACATTTTTTTGTCGTTTTCTGCGCCTATTTTTGTTGGATTTTTGTCATTTTCATTGGTGTCTTTTTTGTAATGTTTTTTACGCCCTTTTTCGCCTTTTTTATCACATTTCTAGTCGTATTTTTTGTAACCTCTTTCAGAGCTTTCTTGTCGTATTTTTTAATTTTTCGTTTCCTCAGTATTTCCAGTTCTTGAATTTTATTTTCAATTTTCATATTTTTTCATTTTCATTTTATCGAGTTTATACAATTTTTCGTTTTTTCGTTTTCTTTATTTTTTCATTTTTCCCATTTGTCGGTGTCGTAATGTTTCGTTTTCCTAACTTAATTTTTTTTCTATTTTTCAATTTCTCAGCTTCCAAATCTTTCAATTTTTCCTTTCCTCAATTTTACAAGTTCTTGATTTTTATTTTTCATTTTCTCGATTTTTTAATTTTCATTTTATCGAGTTATATAATAATTTTTCATTTTTTCGCTTTCTATAATTTTTCAATTTTCCCATTTTTCAATGTTTTGGTGTCGTAATTTTTCGTTTTCCCAACTTCAATTTTTTCAATTTTTCAAGTTCTTGATTTTTGTTTCTCATTTTTTAGATTTTTAATTTTCATTTTATAGAATTTATATCACAATTTTTCATTTTTCATTTTCAATATTTTTTCAATGTTTCGATTCCGAAATTTTTCGTTGTCTCAACTTCATTTTTTGTTTTCAATGTTTCTATTTCTCAAATTCCAAGTTTTTCAATTTTGCAATTTTTCGATATCAATAATTTTTCATTTTTTGATTTTTCAGTTTCTCAATGTTCACTTTTCAATTTTCCAATTTTTTCAAATTCTCGATTTTTATTTTTCATTTTCTCGAGTTTATGTCATAATTTTTCGTTTTTTCATTTCCTTTGTTTTTTTCAATATTTCTTTCGATTTTATAATTTATAATATTTGCTTGATCAATTGTTCAGTTTTTATCCTTGTGAGTTTTCAATTACATACTCGATTTTCCAATTTTTAAATTTTGTAATCTAGCAGTTTTTGGATTTTCGATTTCAATTACAGTTCGATTACAATTTTTGTGTTGTCTAATTTTTCGATTCGATTCGTTTTTTGTTCTTTCTAATTTTCCGATTCATCAATTTTTTCCGATATTTAAGTTTCTCAATTTTTATTTTTCGATTTTTCAATTTTCATTTATTCAATTTTTCACGTTCTTAATTTCCAATTTTTAGATTTTTCAAAGTTTTCATTTTTCACATACTTTTTCGTCATTTCATTTTTGATTTTTTAATTCGAAAAGGTAAAAATCAAAAAATTGAAAACTCGAATAAAAAATTGGAAAACTAAAAAATCGGAAATATTCAAAAATCAAAAAACTAAAAAATGAGAAATTGCAAAATCGAAAAACTGGAAAATCGAAGAACTAAAGAAGCGAAAAACTGGCATTGAAAAACCAAAAATCGAGAAACTTAAAAATAGAAAAAAATTAATGAATTGAAAATTGGAAAGAAGAAAAGACGAATTGAATCGAAAAATTGATACACTAAACATCGAGAAATTGAAAAATTAAAAATCGATAAATTGAATAATTGAATAAATGAAAAAGTTTTGACAAAATATAACTGAAAAAAATTTAAAATTTGGAAAACCAAAACAATTGAAAACCGAAAAAGTCCAAAAATTATTGAACCTTTTCACATTGAAAAAAAGAAAAACTGAAAAAGTGAAAATTGAAAACTCGTAAAACTGCAAATCCAAAAATTGCAAAACAAAACATGCAAAATTTGGAAAATTGAAAACTGAAAAATTTTAAAATGACAACTCGTAACACTGAAGGCAAAAAATGAAAAACTGTAAAACTGCAAAATCGAAAAATTGCAAAAATAAACAAAAATTTTCAAATCGAAAATTTGAAAAAATGAAAAATTACAGAATCGAAAAATTGAAGAATTAACACTGTTAACTTGTGAAATTTTAAATAGAAAAATTTTAAAATCAAAAATTGAAAAGTTCAAAAGTTGGAAAATTTAAAATTTTGAAAATCGAAAAATTGCAAGTCAAAAACGCCAGAGCAGTGTTATTTTCACCACTGGTTTTAACTTGGAAGAGTCTACCAAAAAACGAAAGTCGCAAAAAATGTTTTGTTGTTTCATTCCTCTTATCACAGTCGTCTTTTTTTCTCACATTCTTTGTGACTTTGTGATTGAGATTTTGTGTCTATTTTGCTGCATTTTTTGTCACTTTTTTAATCTTATTTTTTTGAGTTTTTTCTTAAACTTGTAAAATTATCACGAAAATAATGCACAATATTTTTCTTTATTTTGGCAAATAGTGATACTTTTTAATTTTAATCAATTATTAACTTATATGACAGATTTATATGAAATACATAAAAGAAAACCAACCAAAAAAAATAAATCAACACCTCTACATTATTATTTTGCATTTAACTATAAAAACAAATATTGTGGAACCAATTCTTCGAGTACAAAATTGTATTTTCTCTACGAAAAAACTATAATGAGTGACTCATCACATGCTTTAGTACCTAGTAATCGCCGATAATGCAAACAACAATTAAATTCAGAGGAAAACATAATCCAAATCAACCCATATCGGAGTCACATGTACTGTTATCTCCGATCGTCGCTTGGCATCTAGATGTCATTAACTAAATGCCTACAATAAAGTCTGAAAATTTAATTTTAGACGAACGTTTAAGATACCGATAGAGTGTGTCATAATTACACTGCAGCAAAATTTTCTGAATATCCGTAAATGTATATTCAAAGCATGAGGAAATTTTGACAAGCAAAATAGTCTAGAATTTTGATGAATGTTATCCGGTTGTTATCACTTATATCATATCATACAAAATAGTAATAGTTCACGTAAGTACTTAGTCTGTGTAGGTACTTCTAATTCTTTTATCTTAACTAACGCACTCCACACGAGTCATGGCCAGATTCCTGCGACAAAAACAGTAAAAAAATTCCAAAAATCACGCAAAACAGAGATAGTATAGAGAATTTGATGGTACCTCAAAGTACCACCCATGCTGCGTACCTTTGCTGGTAATTGTAACACAATACATCACATAACAACAGATTTGACGTTTCTAAATAATCTATCGCATGATTAAAAAACTATTATCCTTGAGACATCATCGCAAAAAAATCATACAAGCTATTGTAAAATGGTATCAAGAAAAATTTATTAAATACAATTGTAAAATATGTTATTTTTTAAACCTAACAATGTTCTTGCTGTGTTATGTTTATTTAAAACAAAAAAGACGGAAGTTCTGGTAAATGCGTAAATTTGTCTTTGATCAATTTACATGGCAACAAAGTTGCAAACAACGCTGATCATATTTTTTTTAAAACCTGTGGCAAATATCACGTGACTGAAAATGAAACATTGTTAACTAAAAAGGAAAACCCTATGACTTCAAGTGAAACGTGCTTAATAGTTTATGAGCATATTATTACAAATGTGCACGTAATTATACAGTTGGTCGATTAGTCAACGTAGATAAAAATGAAAACTTAAAATAAAATCGGTATATTTTTCTAGCAATGAAAGAAAATTACAATAATTACTAACGTCACTAGCTAGTATCCAGGTACGTCAGAGTGATGAACGTGAGCTACATGAAAGTGAGTCATGCAATGGCTTCTTTATTCTACTTTTTAGTCGTGGATTCACAAAAAAAGATCAAAATGAAAATGAATAAATCAATGACAAGCTAAAAATATCAACCTTTGTTTTCATTATGATAAACCCAGTCGCATGTGTTTTAATATACACAAAAAACAGACAAATGACAACCAAATCCTTGTCACAAAAATAAAAATACTAAAACTTTTGACTGACCATTATTTTTGATAATAAATAAAATTCAAATCGCTGCTGACTCAAGTCGGTTACCCAGAAATCGCATTTCTACACGTAAATAACTCAAAACAAAAAATAATGTTGAAAGATCTTAAATACTCACGTACTATTTTTTAGTCAAAACAGAACAAATATTGAATCAGTCGTGGACGTCTGTAGTGCTTAATTTTCGTCGGAATCCAGTTATTCAATTAGGTGAGTAAGAGAGTCGAAAATTTACGTAATAACTCTATCTTATCAACGAGACGCATTGTTATATATAGGTATCGAGTACTGGAGAATAAAGCATTAATTCGCCAGTCTCTAAAAGTGTGACTGGAAGTGTGGTCACGAATGGTGATTAACACAAACAAAAGGCACTACCAGAATTTTTAACGTGGCTGTTTATTTGTGAAAAATTTGGCACTGTATTTTGGTAAGTAGTATACAAAATTAGTTAGTTTAGACGAACTATGTTGGCGATTAATTGTCAAGTTCAATCGATTTTTTTATCACCAGATGAGCAGATTTTATCAACATATATACCAGTAATACATGTAACAGTAAATTTTGGATGGTGTTAATATCTGCTACTAAAGTAAGTTAATCACCACAAGCGAAAATTTTAATAGCTAGTGCTTGCACTAATATTCAGCGTAGTTGTATATTTTTTTGACAAACTTTTCAAAGTTTACGTAAATTTAGAAACATAATATTGATTTGTATCTCTTGTTACTTGACACAAATTTACAGAGACATTTTTCCGTTAATCGTTGCATTTTTCAGCAGACACTTCCAAGTAGCGTTTAAAACAACTGATAATTCCCTTATCTCAGTCGTCATAACTGAAATATTTTTGTACTAGATCTACTACTTTATTTCAGAAAAATGGGCAAACAAATGAACAAGTTTCTACTTTTGATGTGGAAGAACTGGACTCTGCTTAAAAGACGTCCGATTCACACCGCCTTCGAGATCATTTATCCTGTAATAATATGCATGATCCTGGTTTCTGTAAGGATCATGATCACAGTGACGGAAAAGGGGCCGAAATTTTATGACCCGTTCAGTGTAGTTAACACCACCCAAGAGTACCAAACCTTTTGCTCCAAGTTGCCTTCTACGGTACTTACTGCTGCCTATTCCCCCAGCAGCCCATTACTCAAAAAGGTTCTACAATCGGTTCTTACCAAAGGGTGCCCTAACTCTCCCAATGTAGTACAAGAATACGAATCGGCAGCTGATCTAAACGGTGCTATAGACGCTGACACAGAATACGCTAACAACCTCACTGTGGTGGTACTTTTCAATGATCAACTAAAAGGGATATCCAGCAGAGACGCCCTTTCCGATGTCGAAGTCACCATAAGGTAAACCCTGTCCCTAACGTCAATCTACGTTTCTTACCTGAACCTTCCAGACTACCCACTGTACAAGGCGACGACAAGAAGGAATGGTTCACGAATTTAATATTCCCGTTGTTCCAAACACCCGGACCCAGAGAGCCAGACACCTCGTTTGACATCGAACCAAGTACGACTTCTACCCACTTTTAACTATTTTTACACACTAAACCCTCTTCCTCTAGAGTATTTGAGCCGAGGATTTTTGTACTTTCAACAAGAAATTACTTTTGCTCTTTTGAATAATGGTGACCCTGGAAACCCAGAAATCGAGTTACAAATGAACAGATTCCCTTATCCGGAATGGTTAGACGATTTGTTCTACGCCAACCAGATGGAAACTATGGTAACCTTGATGATAATGATAAGCTTCATGTACAACTACGTTAACACCATCCGAGCCATAACAATAGAAAAAGAGAAGCAGCTAAAGGAGTCCATGAAAATTATGGGTCTGCCTGGGTGGCTCCACTGGGTCGCCTGGTTCCTACGCAGCTTCATCATCCTCCTTCTGGCGATCATCCTCATAATTATTGTTCTAACGGTTAAAATAGGAAACGCACCGGTTTTCACAAACACTGATCCAAGTGTCTTACTTATTTTCTTCCTTCTGTTTTCTGCTAGTACCATCACGTTTACTTTTTTCATTAGCGTATGGTTCTCTAAAGGTAAGATTAGATGGTAGTACCAATGTAGTACTAATGGAGATTTGTAGCCAACACGGCAACTGCAGTAGGCAGTCTTGTGTTCTTCCTAACCTATCTGCCGTACTCTCTCCAAACCCAGTCCAACTCGGTGTCTCTGAGGGCAGCTTTAGCCTCAAGCTTATTGGCCAACTCGGGACTCTCCTTTGGAATTTCCGCGATGCTTAAATTCGAAGCCGTCGGAGAAGGTAACTATCAAAGTCGTACCGAATTGTCTCCAAGTGGGTGTTGCAGGGTCGCAGTGGAGCAACATGTGGAGTACCACCTCTCCCGACGACCATTTGACTCTAGGTTCCATTTTCTTGATGCTCCTGCTCGACATTTTTCTATATTTGGGTTTGGCGCTCTATATTGAAGCGATTTTCCCGGGAGAATTCGGGGTACCACAACCTTGGTACTTTCCGTTTAAACGTTCCTACTGGTGCACCAAGTCCGTCCCTGTTGGTAACGAAGTCTTTTCGAAAAACAAGGGTGAATATTTTGAAGAGTTCACCGAGAATTTACCAATCGGGATACAGCTGCAGAATTTGTCGAAAACCTTCGGGGCTAATAAAGCTGTCAAGAAACTCAATCTGGATATGTATGAAGGCCACATTACGGTACTACTAGGGCACAACGGTGCTGGTAAAACCACCACGATGTCGATGATCACCGGAATGTTTCCACCGACGGGTGGTACCGCTATGGTCAGCGGGTACGACGTTCGTACCAACATACAAAGCGTGCGAGATAGTATGGGGTTGTGTCTACAACACAATGTTCTCTTCGACAACTTAACCGTCTACGAGCACTTGTACTTCTTCGGGAAACTGAAAGGGCTGCAGAACAACGAAATCCAGCAAGAGATTAACAACTACATTAAGCTTCTGGAGCTCGAAGACAAGCGACATGCCCGTTCGAGTACTTTGTCTGGTGGAATGAAGAGGAAATTGAGCATCGGTATGGCGATGTGTGGCAAATCCAAAGTGGTGATGCTAGACGAACCCACAGCTGGTATGGACCCTTCAGCAAGACGGGCTATTTGGAACTTGCTCCAGAAACAGAAAGAGGGACGAACGGTACTTCTAACCACCCACTTTATGGACGAAGCCGATTTGCTTGGCGACAGAATCGCGATCATGACCGGAGGGCAAATGCAATGTTGTGGTTCTAGTTTCTTTTTAAAACGGAAGTACGGTGCTGGGTACTACTTGATCATGGATATCACGCAGAACTGTCGACCTGACAATATTACTCAGTTGTTGAGGAAGTACATACCTGATGTGGAAGTGTTTTCACATGTAGGGTCTGAGCTGACGTACCAGTTGTCCGAACACGAATCAGGGAAGTTTGAAGAGATGTTGCACGATTTGGAAAACAATACTACTTCTTTAGGGGTTTTGAGTTACGGGGTGTCACTTACGACTCTAGAGGAAGTGTTTATGAAGTAAGTGGGTGTAGAGGTGTTTGATTGGAAGTAACGAGTGTTTGCAGGGTTGGAGCTGACCACGACAATAAGAGTTCGAAGAAGTACAACAAAAACCAGAACGGAAACGATACCTCGAGTGAGTTAATCTACGGTTTTACAAACCTTTCTTCAGTTTGATGTTACAGTTACGGTTGACGCTTTCAACTTCAATAACTTAGCAGCGTCTTATTTGAGTGGGTGGCCTTTAATGAAGAACCAGTTTGTAGCCATGTTTTTGAAACGGATTTTGTCGATACTTCGGTCGTGGTATTTGTTGATAATCCAGATTATTTTGCCTGTGGCCCTTTTGGTAATCACGGTTCTAAACGCTAGGAGTTTTGTTCCCTTGAGTACGTTCCCTTCGTTGGCGCTATCCTTGGACTCGTACGACGAACCGGTTACCCTTCTTCAAGGATCGTCTGGAGATAGTTACTATGACACCTACAAAGACATGCTTAAGGGATACACGGTGATGCCAACCGACAACCTCAACACGACCATTTATGACCAGACTGTGGATTCTCCGGCTAATGTTAAAATGCACTACCTCGTGGGAGCATCCTTTAACGACACGGTTGCAACGGCTTGGTTCAACGGAGATCCCTACCATTCGATTTCTCTGTCACTGGGTCTTGTCTTGAACACGTTCTACAAGAAGAGTTTAGGGGCAGACAAGTCCATCCGTTTCTACAACCATCCACTGCCTCTCAATATCGACGCTCAGGTTGGTACTCAAACATACTCCACCTGGTACTAACACAGCTATTGCAGCTCGACGATTTACAATTCAACATCATGGGATTCCAAATTGCCGTAGAAATTGGATATGGATTGGCTTTTGTGGCCAGTTTCTACATCCTATTTTACATTCGAGAGCGCGTCAGCAAATCTAAACACTTACAATTTGTGTCAGGAGTCAACGTGTTCATATTCTGGGGCACTTCCTTCATCTGTGACCTAATCACCTACTTGATAACCATGTGTGCCATTCTCATCACGTTCGCGGCACTCCAAGAAGACGGTTTCAAAACAGCAGACGAAATAGGTCGAATGACCCTCGTCTTGGTCTATTTTGGCTTCTTCGTCCTTCCTTTCGTCTATCTAACGTCATATTTGTTCAATATTCCATCCAGCGGCTTCTCTCGAATGATGCTACTAGGCGCCGTGGCAGGAATGATCGGAATCAGTGCCATGCAAGTATTGGAAATGGAGCCTCTAGGTTTGCTGGATGTAGCCCATGGACTAAACTGGGTCTTGCTATTCGTACCTTTCTACACGGTCGCTAAAGGTACCGCCGACCTTGGATCGATCTATCAGTTGCGAACTGTTTGTCTAAAACGAGCCCCCACCCTTGAAATCGCCTGTCAAGCTACCAGCCAGTGTTGCGGTAATTAATCAACAATTACACCTAACCCTATAACTCAACCCACTTTTTAGGTCTCGACGACTACTACGCCATGACCACCCCCGGAATAGGCCGCAACATCATCATCTCCTTCCTCATGTGCATCTTCCTCTTTGCCATCCTCCTCTTCAACGAGTACGGCTTCTTCAGTTTCCTCGTGAACAAACTAATCAACTACAACAAACCACCCTCGCGTGGGGTGCAACTCGAGGAAGACGTCCAAGAAGAAAACACCAAGATACAAAGCACCGACGAGATGGTACTCAACAACAACTACGCCCTAGTGCTGCGGGACGTCACCAAGTACTACAAGAACTTCCTCGCGGTGAACGGTTTGTGTCTTGGGGTGAAACCCTACGAGTGCTTTGGACTCCTAGGGGTGAACGGCGCCGGCAAAACCACCACGTTCAAAATGATGACCGGAGATGAGCAAATCTCCTACGGGGAGGCCTGGGTTAAAGGCCACGATATCAAAACCCAGCAAAAAAAGGTGCAGAAATTGATCGGGTACTGCCCGCAGTTCGACGCGCTTCTGGACGACCTCACGGCTAGGGAAACCTTCAAGATCTTCGCGCTGATTCGAGGAGTACCGATGGAGAATTGTCAACAATTGGGTGAACACTTGGCGCACGAGTTTGACTTCTTCAAGCACTTGGATAAGAAGGTCAAGGAGCTGAGTGGCGGGAATAAGAGGAAGTTGAGTACCGCGCTAGCACTGATTGGTGATCCTCCTGTGATTTATTTGGACGAACCGACGACTGGGATGGATCCTGCTACGAAGAGGTTTTTGTGGACGGCTCTGGGTAAATTGAGGGACAGCGGGAAGTGCATTATTTTGACGTCGCATAGCATGGAGGAGTGTGAAGCTCTGTGCACCAGAATCGCGATCATGGTCAACGGGAACTTCCAGTGTCTTGGGTCCACCCAAAGACTGAAAAACAAGTTCGCACAAGGGTTTGCCTTAACGATCAAAATGAAGAAGCTTGCTGACCATTTGGACCTGGAACGAGAAGTGACAGCTATTGATAATTTCATTCAAAGCAGTTTCCCTGGGGCGGTACTAAAGGAAAAGTACCAGGAACTCTTGTCGTATCAGTTGGTCAACAACGCGATTCCGTGGTCCAAGATGTTTGGGATTTTGGAACGAAGCAAGAACCAGCTGAACATTGAAGATTATTCGCTGGGGCAGTGTAGTTTGGAACAGGTATTTAACTAATTTCTTGTCGTTATTCAGTTTGTACTTACTTTCTTTGTTATAGGTGTTCCTAAGCTTTACGAAGTACCAAAACTAGTTTGTGCTCGACAAACCAATCTCTTCGTGTACTTTTTCCCCCGATGGAATGGAGTGTCAGTTATTTATTGCGCATGGACGAATTTTTTAATTAACTTATTTTAACTTAAAATTGTAAGGTTCATCGTCTGTGGTGATTTAAGTAAAAGTGTTTTCCACTTTCTGTAACAATAATAATAATAATAATAATAATAATAGTAAGTGCGGTATCATGACACCAACTCTGCGTGAACTTTTAATGGACACGTTTTTTGCCTAAAATTGTGTCCGGAAGTGGAAAAATGATATATACAAGTCGGGATGTGGTGTTGACCAGTCTCGGGCTGTTTTGCCAGGTTTTGTCATCGTTCTCGACTGGTAATGATCACCTCTCCCTTTTAACACAAATAACTTATTTGTTCTAGTCAATAACGCTTAATTTTTAATTGCACATAAGTTTCTGTAAGATGTATTTTGTGTTGCCTGCATTACAAATATATTAACATAGACTGTAACAATGATAATTATTTTTTTATGGAGCCGATGTGAATAAAATGGATTTATGGACAAAGTTGAGGCTATTGCTGGAAGTTTATTTACCTGTAGACGGATGTTCGGGTTTTTGTGGCATTGGGAATAATACGACTACAAAACATACGATATAAATAATAAAAAAATTCACTTAGCGTTTCCCCACATGGATTTATAAATTATTATTAAAGTTGTTTTCAACTTCGGTATTTTTCACAAAATTTAAATCAGAAATATTTTGTCAAATTATTCTCCCCATCTTTACTTGCCAATATCAGATATGAAATACTGTATACTCAGTCGACATGTACCTAGCTACTTAAAAACATATTTCAGATGGTAATTTCTTGTAGAGAAATATCGATTTTGCAATTAAACTCCCCCCCCATTGAGATGGCGGCCGGTGGACAGGGCTTAAATCTTGCCTTCATTTCTGAAAACACGTAATCTTCTTTTCCTGAAAAAATATATTTAAAACATGTTTAAAATAGTAAAGTTTTGTCGGGAAACATCGATTTTACAATTAAGCTCCGCCCCTCGGTCAGACAACGAATAAAAAGTTCATCACAATTGAGACTGGGACGGGTGGGTGGGGCTTATTTTTTGACTATTTTTTTCGTAACGTATGTGATTTTCTTTCAACAACATGATACTTAAAAACATGTTTCACATGGTAGGGAAATAGGCATTTTGCAATTAGGCTCCGCCCTTCGAGTCACAACCAATAAAAAAGTTATCACAACTGAGATGAGGGTGGGTGGGCGGTATTTGTAATTTTTTTTTGTTAGTGTATGTATGTAATTTTCTTTTCACGATAAGAAACTGAAACATGTTTAAAAGAGTAAATTGGTAGAGGAATGTAGGGGATAAAACTTACCACTTTAAACATGTTTTCAGTTTCTTGTTATGAAGGGATGACTATGTACATTAAGAAAAAAAAAGCCCCGCCTATCTCAGTCGTAACGATTTTTCTTTGTTCGTCGTGAGCCAAGAAGGGCGGAGCTTAATTACAGCATCCGTATTTTTCTACAAGAATTGCCATGTGAAACTTGTTTTTCGGTGATCTTCTTGTTCAAAGAAAACTGTATGTATTATCGTGACGAATTTTCTATTCGTTGTCAGACCGAGAGGCGGAGCGTAATTGCAAAATCCATATTTCCTCTTTTAAACATGTTTTAAGTTTCTTATTGTGAAAAGAAGACTAGGTATATTAAGAAAAAGTAAAACAGAAGCCCCGCCCACCCACCCCCGTCTCAATTATTCGCTGTGATCCCGGAGGCGGAGCTTAGTTGTAAAATCTTTTCTTTCTTTACAATAAATTACCACATGTGAAACATCTTTTATTGCTGTTGACATAATAGGGGAGAGAAGTTACAGTCACCTTCGTCTCAGAATGGTCCATTTTGAACAACATGATAATACTTAAAACACCATTATAAATTGACCTTAGACCAAAATCTCAGCTCGATGTGAGAATTTTGATTTTTTTCTCATTTTTTCTGCTGTCGGATTTTTTTTTCATATTTTGTCGGATTCTTTCGAATTCCGCGGATTTTTCCGGGTGCCCTCTTACTCTATCGAATTCTTCCGGTTTCTCTCGTGTTCTGTCGAATTATTTCGGAGTGTTTTCCGAATTTTTTGGAATTCTTTCAGTTTCCATCGGACCTCGAATGTTTCGGATATCTACTTTCGGATTGTTTCGGATTCATTCGGATCATTTCGGATTCTCCCGGATTCCTTCGGATCCTATCGGATTTTTTTTAATTGTCTCGAATTCTTTCGGATACAAATTTGTACATTCGGATTCTATCGGATTCTCCAGAATTCTATCGAATTTTCTTCACATTGTCTCGTATTTTTTGGATTCTTTCGAATTCTCCGGACTGGATCTCTCTTATTTTATAGCACTTTTTTCGATTTCTTTCGGATTCTTTTGGATCTCGAATTTTTCAGACTCTTTCGGATTCTCTTGAATTATTTTGAGATTCTCGCTCTTCCATCGGATTTTTTCGGATTCTCTTCGATCTTGGATTTTTCGAATTCTATCAGATTCTCTCTGTTTTCGAATTTTTTTATATTCTTTCGGATTCTACTCAGAATTTGTTCGGATTCTCTCGGAATGGTTCGAATTTACTAGAAATGTCTCAAATTCTTGCGGATTAGTTCAGATTCTATCGGATTTTCACGAATTACTTTTGAATTATCTCGGATCCTCTTGGATTCTTTTGGATTCTATCGGAAAAATATGAGAGACTATGAAAAAATCCGTGAGAGTATGAACAAATGTGAGATAATCAAGAGAATCCAAAATAATACAAGAGGATCCAAAAATTAGACAATTCAAAAATTTCCACAAAATCCGAAAGACTCCGCAAGAATCCAAGAGAATTCGAAAGAGTAAGGAAAATGTCCTAGAGAACCCGAAAGAATTTGAAAGAATCCGATAGGATCCAGGAATATACAAAACAATGAATTTCTGAGAGCTTCGGAACAATTCCAGAAGAATCTGAAAGAATCCGATCAAATTCTGAAAAGACCTGAGAGAATCCGTGAGAAGCTAAAAAAAATAATTGAAATAATCCAAAAGACTCCGGAAAAATATAAGAGTATACGAAAATCCGAGAGAATATGAAAAAATTTGATGGAATCTAACAGAAAATCATACAAGAGAATCCGAAGAAAATTCGAAAGGATCCAGGATAATCCGATCAAATTTCGAGAGAATTCGACTAAATTCTGAGGTGATATTCCGGAGAAATCCTAAAGAATATGAAAAAAACTGACAGAATCTAAGAGAATTCAAGGAAATGTTGGAAAATACGACAGAATACAAGATTATTCGACAAATATCCGAGAGGATCGAAAATAATCTGGAAGAATTCAAGGGAACACCAGAGAATTCGAGAAGATCCGCGATAACTCTGAAAAATTAGAAAATAAATCGAAGGAAACCGATAGAATTCGAAAGAATCCGAAGAATACGAAATAATAATCCAAAAATATTCCGAAAGGATTCGAACGCGAAATCTTAAGATTTTGAGAATTTTCTCAAAATGCACTGATCTTCTTGAAATTTGCTCTACTCAGTAATTCGAACATCCTGAACAAGAATCGGGCTCCAGATTTGTTCTCTGAGGCCGAAATAATTTTTTACGAGCTGACTTTGGCCAACTTTAAGAAAAATAACATAGTCTGATAAATTCATTTCTTACCACTAAAGGACAAGCCATCCTACTGCCAATTTTTTTTCTGATTCAAAAAAGTCTAATAAATTGAACAGTTTCTATTTCAGCTGCGTATCGTCAATGGTTCTCGAGTTCTGAATTTTCAAACTGAAAAAAAATTTTTGAGCATACGAAGAATGTGAAAGGAAGGTGGATTCTTCTTGAACCCTTAGAAATTTCCAACAACCAATTGTAAAAATCAATTTAGCAATATCGAGTTGTCCTTAGACCAAAATCTCAGCTCGATGAGAGAATTTTGATTTTTTTCTCATTTCGCGAAATCATCAGATTTTGAGAATTTTCGCAAAATGCACCGGTCTTCTTGAAATTTGCTCTACTTAGTAATTCGAACCTCCCGAACAAGAATCGGCCTTCAGATCGGGCTTCAGATTTGCTCTCTGAGGCCACAATAATTTTTTACGAGCTGATCTAGGCTAACTTTAATAAAAATTACATAGTCCGATAAATTCGTTTCTTGCCACTAAACGACTTGAGCCATCCTACTAGCAATTTTTTGTCTGATTCACAAAAGCCTGAGAAATGGAACAGTTTTTATTTCAGCTGCGTATCGTCAATGGTTCTCGAGTTCTAAATTTTCAAACTGAAAAAAATTTTTTGAGAATCCGAAAAATATGCAAGGAGGGTGGATTCTTCTTCAACCGTTAAAAATTCCCAACAACTGATTGCCAAAATCAATTTAGCAATATCGAGTTGTCCTTAGACCAAAATCTCAGCTCGATGAGAGAATTTTGATTTTTTTCTCATTTCGCGAAATCGTCAGATTTTGAGAATTTTCTCAAAATGCACCGGTCTTCTTGAAATTTGCTCTACTTGGTAATTCCAACCTCCCGAACAAGAATCGGCCTTCAGATCGGGCTTCAGATTTGCTCTCTGAGGCCGCAATAATTTTTTACGAGCTGATCTAAGCCAACTTTAATAAAACTTAAATAGTCCGATAAAATCATTTCTTGCCTCTAAACGACTTATGTCATCCTACTTGCAATTTTTTTTCTGAGCCAGAAAAGTCTGGAAAATCGAACAGTTTTTATTTCAGCTACGTGTCGTCAATGGTTCTCGAGTTCTGAATTTTCAAACTGAAAAAAAATTTTTGAGCATACGAAAAATATGAAAGAAGGTGGATTCTTCTTGAACCGTTAGAAATTTCCAACAACTAATTGTCAAAATCAATTTAGCAATATCGAGTTGTCCTTAGACCAACATCTCAGCTCGAAGTGAGAATTTTGATTTTTTTCTCATTTCGCGAAATCATCAGATTTTGAGAATTTTGTCAAAATGCACCGATCTTCTTGAAATTTGCTCTACTTAGTTATTCGAACCTCCCGAACAAGAATCGGCCTTCAGATCGGGCTTCAGATTTGCTCTCTGAGGCCACAATAATTTTTTACGAGCTGATCTAGGCTAACTTTAATAAAAATTACATAGTCCATTAAATTCGATTCTTACCACTAAACGACTTATGTCCTCCTACTTGTATTTTTTTTTCTGAGTCAAAGAAGTCTAGTAAATCGAACAATTTTTATTTAAGCTGCGTATCGTCAATGGTTCTCGAGTTCTGAATTTTCAAACTGAAAAAAACTTTTTGAGCCTACGAAAAATATGAAAGAAGATGGATTCTTCTTGAACCGTTAGAAATTTCCAACAACTAATTGCCAAAACCAATTTGGCAATATCGAGTTGTCCTTAGACCAAAATCTCAGCTCGAAGTGAGAATTTTGATTTTTTTCTCATTTCGCGAAATCATCAGATTTTGAGAATCTTCTCAAAATGCACCGATCTTCTTGAAATTTGCCCTACT